AGCTGCTCTGAATGTAGTAGAAGGCTCTTTTTCTGCTTCTCAGTTCCTCTCCATAATGGATTGAGAGAGAGAGCTGGCAATTAGGCTGGCTGAACAGAGGAGAAAACTCTGCTTTAATTCCTCTTCCAGAAAGGTCTTTGTATATATATATATATCAGTTTATTTGTCTGCAATTTGCTTCTCTACTGAAACCAGCTAGGGCTGCCTCTCTTAGTGAGGGGATGTCTTCTTCAAGGAAAACACTTACAAACAAAGAAGTGCCTGCAAGTCTGGGGTCAGCTCTGCTGAGACCACCACAGGTACTTCATTCCCATATTAAGTATTGGAGCAAAAAAGGTTTTAAATGGCTTTAGCTGGTGTGCTATGGGAGACTGTGCTTCACTGCTGCTGTATCTGGCTGGAATAGTCTTGGGGCTGCTCTAGCTCTTGTTCTTTATTTTTCTATTGGCTGTTTCTGTAGTTTCTCAAGGAGTTAAAGCTTTGGTTTGCAGGACTCTGTCTGATACATGAGCTATAGATGGCAAAAAGAAAGTCTAAGAGGTTTCTACCAGCTTTTCAAATCCTCAATGGCACCAAAACATCTCCCTATAAGCTTGGAGATCAATATCTTGACCTTTGGCTTTCTTTTTCCCTCTCACCAATCTGTGTTTCAGAAGCCAATGCAGCTTGGCTAATTGTTGATGGCTTAATTGTTGGCAGAGATCCTGTAAAAACCAGGAGCCGTGTAAGCTGGTAGTGTCCAGGGGAGGGCATTTGATGGCTTAATTGTTGGCGGAGATCCTGTAAAACCCAGGAGCTGTGTAAGCTGGTAGTGTCCAGGGGAGGGCACAGCTCAGCTGTGTTAACCAGGGTGTGATTGTGGGTGTGTGGGGGATAATTGGGATGCTCTCTGGGCTGTTAAGAGATCCTGAGCCTTATTTCCAGTGCAAGTAGCTGAAGTATAGATGTGCATCCACCAGGTGACAGCTGTGAGACTCTCAGGTGTAGATTTCACTGAATTTCACTGAATTTTAGAGTTGGAAGGGACCATAGAGATCATCTAGTCCAACTCCCCTGCTGAAGCAGGATTGCCTAGAGCTAGAGCATGTTACTCCAGATGAGTGTCTGCAGCAAGATGGGCTTTTAAAATAGTGAATAATGAACTAACATAAACATAGATACTGTGCTTTGTAAGGTCAGGTGACACAAAGTCAGCTCCAAGTATAATATAAAAAAAAGAGTTTGAAAAATAGTAATGAACTCTAAATGCCACATGTGAAATGGTAGTAAATGAAAGGGTGTGAGCAGCAGGTGCTGGTTGACTTTGGCAGGTCATGATGAGAGCAGATGGGCTGCAGCTGTGGAGCTGGGGCTGGGCTGGGGGTCAGGGAATGCAGCTCTGGGGGGGGACACAGAGAGCTGCCTTCCTGGGGAGTGTCTCCTCTGGTCTCTTCTGATGCAATGGGTGGTTTGAGTGGTGCATGGAAAGTGCTTTCCATCCCATCAGGGCTTGAAGCAGCCTGTGGGTCTGCTCTCTCATGGATTGTTGGCTCCTGTGTGCTAGAAGGGGGTTTGGATGCTTCACTGGTGATGTTGAAGGCAGGAAGTTTTTTATCATATGAGGGTAAATCCACCAACTACTATGCTTTTGAATTGCACCAGAAATAGGGAGTAAAGAGCAAATTCCTAGCTATGAAATGCTCCTGGTGGCTTCAGCTCTTACTTGGTAGAGATGACACCACTAAATCACGCTTCTGTCATTCCCTTTGTTGCTCTTCTCTTGCTCTTCCTGCCTGGTTTTGAGCTGTAGGAATGTCATAAGCCAAAGGTGACCAGGAGAGAACAAAATTCACCCTGTGAAGTCAGCTTCAGCCTGTGAATGGTTGAGGTCCTGCTGACTGTTGTTGAGAACTCGATGTGTCCTCTGAGAAGCTCCAGAGTTGTCAGGTGGCTCCCTCCCCCTGAGGGACAGTGGCTGGGGACAACTACGCTGAGTGAGACTCAAATCTGGAATGGAGCAAAGGTTTCTAATGTGTTCTTAAGCTCTCCTACCTGAAACCAAAAAGAAGCTTGTTCTTAAATACTTTCACAATATTTTTATCAGACTTTCCATTTTAATTACTCTTTGTGATGCTGTTGAGTTGGAACTACGGGTTATGAGTTGCTGAGGGAAGCACTCTCATTTTGAAATATTTTAATTCTGAAGTCATTGGATATAGAGGACCTAATGTGTCATGGTCAAGGGCAAATTTTGACTGAGTTGCTGTTTGCTTTCAGCCAACAAACATCCAAGGGCAGGGCTGGGTGCCTGATGCAGACCAGCACCACCGTGTCGCTCTGCCCTGATGTCCTCTGTCTCCCTGGGCAGGGCTGACTTGAGTGCGTGGCAGTTTGAATTTAACCACGTGGATGCATCTGTCTGCCACTGCAGACAGTGCTGAAAGTGTGATGGAGGTTTCTGAATGGCAGAGACACTTTAAATGCCTTCCTCGTTTCTCCCCATTTTTATTTTTTAATTAGGAAGGATAGAAATGTGGCAGTTGCCGCCCAGCTTGTTGAAAGAGCAGACAGCTGTACTGCACAGACACATTTAAATACAAATCACATGCATTTTCGTTGCAATACTATCGTCCAGAGGTGGTGGAGCTCAGCAGATCTGGGCAAATGGGAAGTGTCTGTGGGCAAATAATGTAGGGAACATGATGAACTGTGGCGATGAGCTCTTAAATAGGGAAGTTCCCCAGAGGAACACACAGCGCTGAAACCTCTGACTATGTAGGACCTCTTCAAGCCTGGGTGTAGCACGAAGGGATGGGTGAACAACCATGAAGGGAGATGCAGAAAGGCTCCTTTGTTCATGTTGCTGCTGTAACCTCTGTCTTTTGTTGTGCTGCTGTGGTGGAGCAGCTGGGAGAGGGAACGGGAGCGCGCTCCCCTGGCTGGGTACCGCCAAACAGCTTCACCCTCCTTTGAACGCGACCACATGAGAGACGAGCCCTTTGGCTACTTGGTGGGGAGCTCAGCTTTATTACTCCTCTCCGAGTAGGCAGATCTGGAGCAGGAGTAAGTCATCCTCACCTCTGCTGACTCCAGGGAAGTTGTGCCACTTCAGAGCTGCTGTCTCTGATTTTTTTTTTTTTTTTTTTTCTCCAAGACAGTCTACTTGCCTTTTTTTTTTTTTTTTGTTTCAAACCTTTTGTTTTTTTAAATAGTGC